GGTCTGCAGGTGCCCAGCACCATGCCTGGCTAGTTTTTGTATTTTTAGTAGAGACGGGGTTTCACTATATTGGCCAGGCTGGTCTCGAACTCCTGACCTCATGATCCACCCGCCTTGGTCTCCCAAAGTGCTGGGATTACAGGTGTGAGCCACCGCACCCAGCCCGCTTCCCAGATTTAAGCGATTCTCCTGCCTCAGTCTCCCGAGTAGTTGGAATTACAGGCATGCAACACCACGCCTGGCTAGTTTTTGTATTTTTAGTAGAGACAGGATTTCACAGTGTTGGCCAGGCTGGTCTCAAACTCCTGACCTCAAGTGATCTACCCACCTCAGGCTCCCACAGTGCTGGGATTACAGGCATGAGCCACCGTGCCCAGCCTCTTATGCCTGCTTTCTTACAGCTAAGGAAATAGGCTCAGAGAGTGTGACTTACCCAAGGTCACAAGCTTGGAAGTGATAATGGTTGAGCCACATCTGCTGACTCCAGAGTCCAGTTATTTCCCACCTCTCTGGACTGCCTGCCAGACTCTGAATGTCAGCACCAGACCCAGCTGCTTCCTGCCACTGCCACTTCACCAGACCATGGAGCCAGCTGGGAGTTCCCAACTCCCTGCTCAGGGCCAGCCTGCTTACCACCCCTTTCTGTCCTGCTCTGCTGCCCATCTGCCTACCCACCACTGGCCCACCTGGTAGCTGCTGGCCCACCTGGTCCACAAAGCTGATGGCATCCCGGATGTTGAGCCTGTAGTACACATCCCAGATCTGGTCCCGGATGCGGTAAGCTGACCGTCGCATCAGTAGCTGACTCAGGTATTTCTTATCAAACTGCTCCCACCTACAGAGGATGCCAGGCCCGGCCCTGAGTCCCATTCCCAAGGCCTGGCCAGGTGGCCCTTCCTCAGACGGGGCAAGGACACTGTCAGCACTGGCCTGGCTTTTTAGATATGGGCCTCAGCCAGAGAGAATCTCAAGGCTAGTCCCTGCCCTCATGGAATTTACAGTGTCATGGGAAAGCCTGACAGTAATTGAAATTATTACAAATCACTGTAAAATTGCAACCATGACAAGAACTACAAAGGATAATTAGAGAATATGACACAGGTATGTCCTAGCCAGGGAGGCCAGGGAAGGCCTCCCTAAACAATTGAAGCCTATGATGAGTTGTGAAGGATGAATCGAAGTTGAGTAAGTGAGAGGGAGGTGAAGGAGTGTTCTAGTAGAGAGAAGGTCCCAGTGGCCAGGCTGGGGGAACATGGTGGGTCCTGAGGCTGTAAGGCAGGGTCCATGGAATTAGCAGGCAGACAGTTAAAGACAGAGCAGAGCACGACGAGGCTGGAATTTGGCAGTTGCCAAACCATGCAGGGCCAAGCAGGCCACGCTGGGGAGCCTTGTCTTAACCTGAGAGCACTGGGATGCCACTGAGGGGTTTCAGGCAGAGGTCACCCAGCCTGAACCTGGCTCTGTCCCTTCTCAGAAGTGTGGCACATCCCCCGTGCTTCCCTGGCTGATGGGGCTGCTGCTGCTGAAGGAGCCTCGGGGCAGCTCCCTCACCTGTCCCTCCAGTAGTGGTAGCCATGGTGCCCCACAACGTCCTCCACTGCAGCCAGAATGTGGTCAAAAGTCTAGAAGGGGGGTGGGTAGGGGGACTGGATCAGGACTCTGCCCAAAATAGGAGAAGGTCGAGAGGCACAGGCGAGGGCTGGGGTTCTGGTACCCACGTGCTCATGCAGCTCCTGGTTCAGGGTGGGTTTGTGATGCTCACTCCTCTTCACCTTCAGCCATTTGACCAGTGGCTTGATGGTCAAGCCCTATGGACAGGCAGGAGGTGAGCCCTGCCCTATTCCTATTCATTTCCCTGCTGCCTTTCTCTCCCCATAATGAGGCTTCAGCTTCAGTACCCCCACCCCACTGCACTCAAGGTCTGGGAAGTCAGGGCCCTCCATCTCCCAGTGGGAAGAGAAGCCCCTGTCCCATAGGCTTCAAGACTCCCCCAGGGACTGCCCAACCCTCTCCCTACCCAGCCTTGTGGGCACTCCCACCTGCACGATGACTGTGAAGAAGACCACTACAATAGTGGTGGCTACAAAGTAGTCCTTGGCAGGGACCTTGGTCCTATCCAGTAGGATGACGAGAGCGAAGGCCACAGCCCCCCGCAGGCCCCCATAGGACATCACCACTTGGTCAATCTTGTCCAGAGGGACTAACCGGAACTGATTCAGCACCCAGGTCTGCAGGACTACGCCTACAGCGGGAGGGAGGCCAGTGGGAGCAAAGCGTTGGGAGTGGAGGACGCAGGAGTGGATGGCACCACGTATCTGGGCTGAAGTCTAACAGGGACTGGGACAAGTGAGCAACAAGAGGAGGCTTAGGAATTGACAAGGATGTGGACCCAGATGGGGAGATGAGCTGCGGGGAGGGGCGGGACAGGAAGGAGAGTGGGAAAGCAGAAGGTGCCAGCAATACCGAGGGCTCGGAAGAACAGGATGAAGATGAGGGTTCCAAGCACCAGCCCGGAATCCCAGGCCCACTTAGAAGAGTCCACAGCTGAGATGCCAAGCAGCATGAAGATGACGGTCTCAGCACAGCTGGCTAGAGTCTTCATTGTATATTTGACAGTTGTGCGTGACTTATGGGAGATGTTGGCCTCCACATACTTCTTACAGCCCAGGCCACACATGGTTACCCTGGGAGAGGATGGAGAGACAGGGCAAGTGGGGAAGGGTTCCAGGGTGCTCAGCCTCTGGGGTTTGAGCATACTGCAGGAGGGGGCATTGCCCATCACAGGATGTCAGACTCTCAAAGCTGAAGCCCAGGGAGGCCTGAAGACTGAGTGGTAGTGCTGGGCTAATCGTCCAGATCTCCAGGCTTCCCACTCAGTGTCTCCTGGAAGGGAAGGTGGGAGGAATGTGCTCTGACTAGCGGGCTCTCTGATGCACCTTCTGAAGTGCTGTGGCCTCCAGAGCTGGCGGCCCCAGGCCTTGAAGTCTATTTCCAGCCCAGCCTATACCCAGAGAGTTTGAGGGTGCTGAGGACAGTTCTGGAGGCAGCTCCTGAAATTTTGCCTGAGGTTTACTGACTCCCCAGGAGAGTTTGAGGCTCCCACTACCACAAGGGCTCAGGGAAACCTATGGACTCCTGAAGTTCCTGCCTGTGTCCCTATGAGGGGCAACCATCTCCAGTGCCCCCTCCCAGCTATCTGCCTGCAAGGCCCCCAGAACTCACGCAAGAATGGCGGAGAGCGAGGCCATTTCAGCAGTGAGGTAGGCTGCGTAGGCGAGGAGGAAGACCAGCAGCGGCTCGATGATGCGGACCCGCTTGGTGAAGCGTGTGGTCAGGGCCAGGAGGAAGGCAAAGACTAAGCCCACGGCTGCCCCGCCCAGACTGACCACAAACAGGGAGGCTGGGGGAGGAGTGGGTTGTCAGCATGACCCCTGGCCTGGACCCTACCTGGGCTGACAAGACTGCTGCCTGGCAGGGAGTGAGAGATGATGCCCACCGCACTTCCAGGAGCTCAAAACCCAGAGCCAGGATCCCTGGCAAGCCCCTCCCAGACCCCATTTATCTATAGAGGAGTGGAGGAGATGAGGCAACCCGAATAGCCTCCTCTGTCCTGATGTGGGGTGGGAGGGCCTCAGCAACCCAGGGGAGGCAGACCTCCAGTGCCAGCTGGGAGCAGGGAAATACTGACCGACTCCCTTCAGGTAGTCAGTGGCCTGCACGTTGGCAGAGCCCATCTCCACAAAGGAGTTGCAGACCTTGTACAGCACCTGAGCGAGAAGAGGAGAGTCAGCAGTGAGGTGGGAAGGCAGCAACTGGGACTGCTGGGAGACGGTGAAAGCAGACAGCATATTTCTGCCCCCAGGGGACCCACGGGAAGGGTCTGAGTCTGCACAGACCCCTAGCTGGTCAGAGCATGCAGCCTGGGGTCAGGGAATGGCAGTCAGCTGAGCACGCTCACCACGGTGACTGCATCGTTGAGCAGGGACTCGCCAAAGACGATGATAAAGAGAGTCTCATTGACGTGCACCTCCTCAAAGACAGCTAGCACGGCCACGGGGTCCACCGCCGAGATGAGGCTCCCAAACAGCAGAAAGTCCAGTAAGCCAGCCTGCACCCTAGGGGCTATTAAGGGACACATGTAGAACAGGCCAGTCATTGAAGACGACCCAGTCTCCTGCAGCACGCCCTGGGACAAGCCCAAGCTCCACCCCTGCTGATACAACAAGGAAGCCCAAAGAGGACTTGGGCTGGCAAAGACAGCATCAGCCTGCAGATCAAAAGACTACCTATGCCTAAGGCCTGGCTTTGCTACTTACCAACTGTATGATGCTGGTTCTGTCACTGTCATATGGCTTACCTTAAGCCATGACTCCTCATCTGCCTGCCTCACAAGATTGTTTCAAAACTCAACCGAGCCATTTAGAATAGGGAAAAAGGCCAGGCGCAGTGACTCATGACTATAATCCCAGCATTTTGGGAGGCCGAGGCCGGCTGGATCACCTGAGGTCAGGAGTTCAAGACCAGCCTGGCCAACATGGTGAAACCCTGTCTCTACTAAAAATACAAAAAGTAGCCAGGTGCAGTGGTGCATGCCTGTAATCCCAGATACCTGGGAGGCTGAGGCAGGAGAATCACTTGAACCAGGGAGGTGGAGGCTGCAGTGAGCCGAGATCGTGCCACTGCACTCCAGCCCAGGTGACAGAGTGAGACTCAGTTTCAAAAAAACAATAAATAATAAAATAGGGAAAAAACACTGTAGCAACAGTAATAATGACTACCAGCAAATGGAAATTGGCTGCCAACTATTTTTGTTAGGGAGAATAACAAAAGAGTGCTTTCTCCCATACCTGTGGTTCCTAGCCAAAGAGGTGTGACACAATTCTCAGCAGGGGTGGAGGACTGAATATAGTAAGAAAAGCACCACAGATGGGACTTGAATATGTCATATAATTTCTATGAGCCCCAGTTTCTCCATGAGTCTCCAGTTGAGACTTACTAGTCTACAATTGAGACTAATAAAATTTCCTTAGTTAGCCAATGCCTAACATATAGTAAGAACCCAAAAGATATTATTATCTATTACTGTTATTATGATCTGATGTCCTCCCTTCCCTTCCTGCCCCAAATAGTTCACTACCTCAATAGGGAAACCAGGTTAGAGTCCCAGGTAGCAATTGTAAACGTTTTCTTGTAATACCTTGGAAAAAGTGTGAATCATCAACCTTGAGGGCTGAATGAATTTCTTGTGTTAGGAAATAAAGAAGGTAGCAAGAGAGGGCAACCTAAAGGCAAAGAGCCTCAGTAAAACAGACCTGATGCCAGGTGCAGTGGCTCACGCCTATAATCGTAGCACTTTGAGAGGTCAAGGCAGGCAGATCACCTGAGCTCACGAGTTCAAGACTAGCCTGGCCAACATGGTGAAACCCCATCTCTACTAAAAATACAAAAATTAGCCGGGTGTGGTGGCACATGCTTGTAATTCCAGCTACTCAGGAGGCTAAGGCAGCAGAATTGCTTGAACCCAGGAGGTGGAGGTTGCAGTAAACCAAGATCATGCCATTGCACTCCAGCCTGGACAAGAGTGAGACTCCATCTCAAAAAAACAAGAAACAACAACAACAACAACAAAAACGGACCTCTTCTGCTAACCTTGGACCTGATAGCAAACAAATGTAAGGGGCTCTATTTCCTCATCCATTAAATGTGACAAACTACACAAAAGGCTTGCTATGAAGAGTCAGTGGGATAAGTAAGGAGAGAAAACCCAGTGTAGTGCCAGCATTTGATGGATTTATAATAGTTATTTATTTTTTAAATACCTATTATATTTATTTAAAAAATAAATGTTTTAAAATAATGAATTTATTATAGACAACATATAGTTAAGAAAAGAATAATAATAATAATAAAAACAGAAAACCACCCTGACCTGGACTGGGGAGAGCCAGGACAGAAGGCCCTTGCAGAAATGATGTGCAGCTGTGCCTCAGGGGAGCAGGGCTGGCAAGTGGCAATGTGGTAACAGAGGGCAGGAGGCAACAGAGTGGTAACGCAGGCTCCCCAGCCTTGGCAGCCCACACACAGCTGGGAGCCAGGCTCCTGCTCAGCTGTTATGCTGCAGAAGCCCAGACTGGCAGAGACCTAGATGAGGCCTGAACCCCATCGGGAGCACTGCCTTGCACTCCAGAGGGAGGGACCTAGGATGGAGCTTTCAGGGCATGGCTCACACCAGCATGGACCTCCAGAGCTTGAGGAGAAGGGAGAGGGGTGATGGGTCCGGCAAAGCCCAGGTCTTAGGGTCACTCACCTACAAGTCCAGCCTGCTGCAAGCCCCAGAGGGCAGCGCCTGTTGTGAAGGCATTCCAGAGTGTGCCTACCACAGCATAGGTGAGGATGGCACCCAAGTTGTCAAAGAACAGTCTGCTAGGCATGAAATAGCCTGAGTCCAACACAATAGGAGGCAGCAGGAAGAGGAAGAAGGTGCCTGGCTCCAGCTGGTACTCAGCTTTCTTGGCCACAGCCAAAACAATGCCCCCTAGTACCAGGCCCAGCAAAATCAGCAGGCAGCTCTCAGGGACCAGAGATGTTACTTTCCGAGACAGGTGAAATACTGCAATGCAAAAAGAGTACAGGATAGATCAGTTTATGGAATATCCTCCCACAAACAGGCCTATGACCTCCCAGGTTTTTTTTGTTTTGTTTTTGTTTTTGAGACGAAGTCTCACTCTGTTGCCCAAGCTGGAGTGCAGTAGGGCGATTTCAGCTCACTGCAACCTTCACCTCCTGGGTTCAAGTGATTCTCTTGCCTCAGCCTCCCAAGTAGCTGGGACTACAGGCATGCGCCACCATGCCCAGATAATTTTTTTGTATTCTTAATAGAGACGGGGTTTCACTATGTTGGCCAGGCTGGTCTTGAACTCCTGACCTCATGATCCACCCGCCTTGGTCTCCCAAAGTGCTGGGATTAGAGGCATGAGCCACTGCGCCTGGCCAACCTTCTAAGACTGGGACCAAGGGAGGAGAAATATGTAAGATTTCTAGAATTTCCAATCTCCAGGGCTACAAACCCTCTCCTGCAGTCAAAGTCATCTGTTTCTTAGTGCTCCTGTCACACCATGGTAACCTAGGCCTTTACTGCTTTTTCCCCTTCTAGAAGTGTCCCTTCCTTTATACTTTCATCTTCAGGGGACCTCACCTTTCTCTGACATCCTTATCCATAGCCATTATTTGAACCTCAGCAAATGCTACCTGGTATCTTTTTATATATAAGATAGCTGTAAAAATCAGGGCCTTTGGAGACAAGTTGCTTGGATTCAAAGCCTAGTTCTGTGATCTTAGGGCAAATAACTTAACGTCTCTGACTCAGTTTTCTCATCAGCGAAATGGGAGTAAAAACAATAATGATCTCATGAGATTATTGTGACCACTGAAAAAGACAGTCTGCAGGTGGGGCGCAGTGGCTCACACCTGTAATCCCAGCACTTTGGGAGGCCAAGGTGGGCAGATCACTTGAGGTCAGGAGTTCTGGATCAGCCTGGCCAGCATGGCTAAACCCTGTCTCTACTAAAAATACAAAAATTAGCAGGGCGTGATGGTGGGTGCCTGTAGTCCCAGCTACTTGGGAGGCTGAGGCAGGAGAATCACTTGAATCTGGGAGGCAGAGGTTGCCATGAGCTGAGATCATGCCACTGCACTCCAGCCTGGGTGACAGAGTGAGACTCTGTCACAAAAAAAAAAAAAAAAAAAAAGACAATCTACTCAAATGCACTTAGCACACTAATTTACAGTAAGCACTCAATAAATGTTATGTATTATAATGTCCTCACTCCTTAACTGGACCAGAATGTATATTATACCTCCTAGGAGCTGTGTAGACTTCCTAGCCCAATGTGCCTTTCATTATATGGGCTCACTCAGGACTGCGTAGTTTTTTAAACTTTGGCTTTAGCAGTCAGAAGATCTCCAAGTCTTCTTCCAGCCTTAGCACATTCTGTGTGATCTCAGGCAAATTATTTAACTTACTTCAACTTCATTTTCTTCTTCTGTAACATAGGAAAAATACCCAGCATCAAGGGTGAGGATAAAATGATATAAAGTATGCAAATGTGCCTAGCATAATGTCAGACACATAGTATGTTAGACACACACCAAATGTTAATTAAATAGAATAGTTCTGTCTGTAGGAGGAGAGAAGAAAAGGGTTTCTAACACTATTGCCACTCCTACTTTTGTCCTCTAAAATAAACTATTTGGCTCTCCTTTAAGTCCTCAGACCACAGGTGAACACATCTCTCTCTACATGATCCCTGGGGTGTTGGGGAAGTAGACCTCTAAATTAGCCTGTGTGAGACCCTATGCCAAGACAGTGCCCTTTGGAAGCTGTACCCAAAGGGCCTAGAACAGTGCCTGGCACATAGTGAGTTCTACGTAGATATTTGTTTAATAAAAGGGAAAAAGTCTAGCAATGAAGCTGGGGGAAGGTGTTCCTGAATGTTCTACCTTTTCTCTCATTCTAGGATTTTCTTTGGCTTGTGAAAACGAGGCTCTCTTCTCCCACTTCCATAGAAGATGTCATCCAAACTAGAAAAAGAACCATGATTTATGGGGAAAACTACAGTTGTTGCTATAAGCCCTAAGACAGGAACTCTTCTGCAACTCACAGACTTCTCAGCAAACCCAATTGCTGGCTCCAAATCTGAGGCTCCTTCCACTCTTACTGTCATTGCTGCTGGGCCTCTAAGGTAAACGTGGTCATAGATCTCTCTGTACTTGTTACTACTTTAGTCTTCCACTTCTCTCCTTCAGGGACCCCATTTCATCTTCATCTGTTTATGCATTAACCCCAGCCCTGTGATCTAAGCCCCACAGAACCATGCTCCCCGAAGGCATATTGAGTTCTACTTTCCATTATTAATCTTAGGCTGCCACAGCAGAGTGGAAAGTTCTGTTCCTGCCCAGCCCCCTTACCCCCGAGCAGTGTCCCTGTGGAGAAGGGGGGCAATTTCTAGGCTCTGGGTGATTCCTCCATGAAGGCTGTATTGGTGAGATTGGAGTACAGGCTGTGCCGGCATCCATGGGGAGAGAGTAGCAACGCTCAGCTATAATTAGTCACCCCCACAGCAGAGCCTGCACAACAGAGAGAAGGAGGAGGGTCTCTGGTGGGAGGAGGGACCACTGGCTGCTCAGAAGGGAGGAGGAAGGAGCAGATGCAAGCAAAAGCAGCTCTATTCAGGGAAAAAGAAGTCTGAAGCACAGCCTTCAATGCTGTCAGGACTGAAGAGGTTGGATGTATGAAAGCATCTAGGGTAGGCAGCACACAGGAAGACCCCCATACATGGAAGTTTCTTATACCCTGAAGTGGGAAGAATGTGGACCTGAACCGGGCTGGGGGGCCCCCACACACAGGCACAAGAAGGCAGCAGCTTTAAGTGGGCAGCAGGGGAGAGCTGGAGGAAAAGTGGCAGTGTAGTTTCCCAAGGGAATGGACACTCGGACGTGGTCTCCAGGGGAGGCTGCTTTTTCAGAACCAGGATGCCTGTGTTCGTGGGAGAACACCCTCCCCTCAATGTCCCCACACGTCCTCACCGGTGACAGAGGTTTCTGGGAGGCTGGGGATTGGTGGGGGAGAGACCAGACTGAAGAGGGCCTACTGCAAGGGGAACAGGGGAGTGGAGAGGGCAAAGGAGCCTACAGATGGAGTTGGGGAGAGCGAGGGACAGCCCTTCAGAAAGGTAAATCCTCAGAGCTCCCAGGGGAGAAGACAGGGACCAGGGACCCACAGGAGGCGACGCAGGAACTGGGCGAGAGCTCGGATTTGTGGAATCCAAACCTAAGTCCCAGCACCGTGCAAGAAGCCAGCCCCAATCTGAGGACCGAGGAGGTGGGGGTGTTGGGGGCGGGTCCGCAGCTGACCGTCGACCTGGCGCACGCACACACGCACTCACCAATTTTGGCCAGGCTGGCCACCAGGATCCACAGGGCCACCAGGTAGGGCGCCTCGACCTCGTGCCACTGCCAGCGGAAGAGCTCCAAGCCTGGGGGAGGCTCGCCCGGGGACTCTGGCTTCTGGGTGGGCTCTTCGGCCGCCCCTGCCAGGGACAGCGCGAGCAGGGACAGGGCGGCGCGCAGCATCCTGCAGCCTGCCCAGCCGCCCTCCCGGCACCGCACGGCCGCCGGCCCCGCGTCGCCGCCGCCACCTACCGGGCGCCCCCGCGTCACAGGCACGTGGGGCTCGCTCCCCCCAATCCCGGCTCCGATACCCCCAAGCCAGGTCCGGGCTCCGAGACCCTGCCCCGGACTCTCGTAGTCGGGGACTCCCTCCTCTTTCCTCCCTAAATCAGTCCCAGCTCCGGAAATTCCCCAGTGCAGCTCTCCCCCAAGTTCCACAACCTACTCCTTCGAGTCCGCGCCCCCAAATCTCCCCAAAACCGCCCCCACCAGATCCAGAGCGGTGCGCGGCCACGGCCCCCCCGGGCAGCCAGCAGCGTGAAGAGCGGGGGTCTGCGGGGGGCGCGGTCAAGACGGGAGAGGCACGGCTCCTCCTCGGCCAGCGCTGCTGGGCGGCGAGCAGCATCCCCCTGGGGCCCAGGCGTGGCCGGGTGCAAACGGCAGGGGACAGTGCTTGACCGCCCTCCGCGCGGCGCTCCCAAGCTGGGGACCCCCTGCCGGCCCCCGCCCGGACCTGAGCTGCGCACGCGCACTGGACGCTCCCCAAAGCAGTGATGGACAACGCTGCCCCCAACGTCCCAGAAACCCCAAGGCCCAGACTGGCCCAACTCATTCCAGGCGAAGAGGGAGGCTGTTCTTCATCTCCCAAACCAAAGGGCACCTGGCCCGCCCTTTCCAACACACTACAGACAACTGTCTCATCTCTTTCATGAAGCTGACAGGAACCTATGGAAAACCCAGCCTCCTGATTCCCTTCAAACTAGGCGGGATGCACCCAACTTTTTCCAAATCTGAGGGGCATTCGGCTCATCTCGCCCCAAACAGAGGAGGACCGTCTCCACTTTCATTCAAGCTGAGGGGCACCCATCCCACTTTTTCTCCAAAACTGAGGGGAACGTGTTCTATCTGCCCCCTCAAACTGACTCATCCCAATCTTTTCCCTGAAAACTGAAGGGCATCCTTCCCTCTTCCTCCCACAACTAAAGGGAACTGATCCCATCTCTTCCTTCAAACTGGGTGGAATCTACTCTCACTTCTTGCTCCAAATTGAAGGGACCCCTCTCACTGCTTTCCCTAAATGAGGAAACCATAAGCACTCATCCCCCAAATGGAAGGAATGAGGGCCATCTTGCCCCTCAACTGAGGGAGACCTGGCCGGCCACTATCTAAGGAAACTTCTGCCCCATCTGCCTTAACATCCTTCAGAGAGAACGCAGCCTCTCTACCCCCAGACCTAAGAAAGCCTTCCAGCCTTTTGCGCGTTCTCGAAGGCGGGGCGCGAGCTCGGCCTTTCCCGCCCTCCTAGCCAGTGAACTAACGGGATTCCCAGCGGGCCCTGTGAGTGGCTAGCGCCGGCCCCGCCTCCGGCAGTGGTTACCTCCACGCGCGCACTCGGGGACTAATCTTGGCCCCACCCCCTTCCTCGGCCCCGCGTCCGTCTGGCCCCGCCCCTCCAGCCGCGTCCGGTCCGGCCCGGCCCGAAGAGCGGAGCTATAGTGTGCTTGAGTAGAAGCTGCACTGGGGTCGGGACTCCGAGGCGCGCCGCGCGAGCCGGCCGCGGAGCCATGGCGGGCGGGGAAGATCGCGGGGACGAGGAGCCGGTATCAGTGGTGACCGTGAGGGTGCAGTACCTGGAAGACACCGACCCCTTCGCGTGTGCCAACTTCCCGGAGCCGCGCCGGGCCCCCACCTGCAGCCTGGACGGGGCGCTGCCCTTGGGCGCGCAGATACCCGCGCTGCACCGCCTGCTGGGAGCGCCGCTCAAGGTGAGGGGGGCCGGAGAAAGGTTGGGGCGATCGGGGGTTCAGGGTGGGCGCCATGAAAGCTGGTGGGAGGTGCCCCTCCTGAAGAGGCTGGAGCGAGTGTTCTCCTCCGGAAAAGTCTTGGGCTGGGGTCCCAGGGTCCACTCTGCCCCGCCTGCGGGGGAGTCCCCCCCTCTCAAGTTGAGGGGAAACTGAAGAGGGGTGCTAGGAACTTGTCGAGCACCTGGGGAGGTGCTCGAGTTCCACTCGCCGTCCGTCTGCCAGGGTGGCTTCCCTGGTCAGGATGACGGTAGCCGCTTGGGCCGTAGCGGACCCTGGAGGCGGAGCTGGGGAGGGACCAGCTTCCACCTGCTTCAGGTGAGGTGGGGGCGGGACCACGAGGAGGGGCGGGCCCGGGGCGGGCTACTAGAGGTGGCAGAGGTTTCCTGCGGTGTCAAGAAGCTGGATTGGGGCTTGACTCTGTAGGTCAATGGGAACTTGGGAGTGCCGGCCGAGGAGAGACTTCACGGGGTGAGGGGAGTCCCCGGGAAGCGGTCTGGCCCGGCATCCGCAGAGCGCAGGAGGCTGCACTGGTGGAAAAGCCCTTTGAGTCACCGCTCCCGCCCCTACCCCCGGACACTCGCCGCCCATCGGCCCGCGCCTGGAAGTGAGAGGGAAGGCCGGGCTAATTTTAAACCGCCGGCCTGCCCTACTTTGCTGCCGCCCCGAAGCCGACTTGTGCACAGTGCGGAAAGAGGCCCTTTTCCAGATGGCCAGCCTACCTCCTCTCCCCTCCCTCTCGCCGCCGTCAGCCCCCCGCAAGCAGCCCTTTCCGGCACGCTGTTTCCGGGCCAGGACTTTGGGAGGCGCACTACCACCCCCACAGGCTCCACACCAGCCCGGCCGCCTAGACTGCTGGGGAAGAGAACTGCTGGGGAAGAGAGAGAGTCGGGGTGGGTGCCCTCCCCTGCTCCCAGCCTCAGCTGGGCGCCGAGTTGCGTAAACTTGCCCCTTGGGCCCAGGGTCTCCCCTGGAATGTGCCCCGGGCCCCCAGCCCGCATTCCTCGCGCTGCGGCCAGCCCCGCCTCTGAGCGCTGGCGGGAGGGGTGGTGAGACTATTGGCCTGGGGGGTGGCGCGTGTCCAGGCCAGAACCCCGGCTTCAAGGCCATGGCTGGAAGAATGCAGCACACTGCTCACCGCCAGAGTTTTGACGCAGCCCCCGCTTGTCCTGCCCTATTCGGAGGGGCAAATTGAGGTGTGCCTGGAAGAAGCGTGTGCAGCTGGCGGCCACCTCCCATTCAGGATGGGGGCTGGGAAGACAGGAGTGCTGAACTAAGACTGGTTCCCGCTCCCAGGCTCCCAAAGTCCGGGTCCTGAAATAAGGGTGGAGCACTAGAGAAAATATGGTATTCCTCTTATCCTGCCACTCAAGGATTGGACCTAGCCCTGACACCACCCCTGCATTTTTTTTTTTTTTTTTTTAAGACGGATTCTGGCTGTGTCCCCCAGGCTGGAGTGCACTGGGGCTATCTTGGCTCACTGCAGCCTCCACCTCCCCGGTTCTAGCAATTCTCGTACCTCAGCCTTCCAAGTAGCTGGGATTACAGGTGTGTACCACCACACCCAGCTAATTTTTGCATTTTTAGTAGAGACAGGGTTTCTCCATGTTGGCCAGCCTGGTCACAAACTCCTGACGGTGATCTGCCTACCTCAGCCTCCCAAAGTGCTGGGATTACAGACTTGAGCCATGGTGCCCAGCCCCTTGACACCCCTCTTCCCAACTGGGGGCAAGCCTGGTAGGTCAGCTGCAAGAAAGAGGCTCAGAACCACCCCTTCTATCTCCCTCTCATGGGACCCCTGTCCCCACCCAACCCCACCAGGTGCTCTGCCCTGTGTTCCCTGCTCCTTAACTGAAGACACTACTGAGCTCTCGTGGAGAATATAAGTTCCTCATCCCCGGTGCAGTCCTTCCTGGTCTCCCCGATTTAATGTTCTCCCACCTGGAGCACCTGAGGACTGCCTCCCCTCCCCCACAGGGATAAGGAGGCGGCACACTAGGTTACCACAAATGCCAGAAGCCAGGACTCCCTGGGGCTAGCAACTCTGCCAGGAATGGTCAGATGCACTGTGATGTGCTCAACCCAAATATAAACTGTGACCACAGCCCCAGAATAGAAGGCTGGAGGAAGAGGGGCTGAGAATAGGGCAGGGGCAGGGACATCAGAGAGCTGAGCAAGGGGGAGCAGGGCTCCTCCTTGCAGGAAATGTCAACAGCTTGTTCCTCCCGTAGTCCTGTAAGTGGGTGCCCCAGAGTCACAGACATGACTCAGGCCTGTCTTGCTGACCCTCTAGAGGGGAGAGGTGGCCCAGAAACTGGGGCGTCCCTGTCCCAAGCTGTAGGGCAGAAATAAGAGGAAGGGGTTCTCTACTCATTGCTTTGTCCTATGTACAGTTGTCCAGCAGAGGACAGGACACAGCCAAGTGGCCTCTGTCCTCCTCTGGGTACTGGCCCTGATCATCCCAGCAGATGAGCCCCGTCCCTGGGGATGTACAGAGGCCAGTCTGCTTTCTCCCTGGGGCTCCACCCACACACCCCATTGGGCAGAGCCTAACCCCTAGAGTTCCCTTGGGGGCTTCCTTTTTAAAGAGCTTTCAGATCTCAGAAACCCTTGCTCATTTCCTCCTAGTCTAGGAGGAAGCTCCTGGCCACAGCCTCTGACTCATCTCCTGGCCCTGGTTGGTGGAAGGGAGCCTGACAGTGCATTGGGCCAGGCCTAGTGTCCCTGGGGGAACTCAGGAGCGCCTTCCACCCCTCCAAAATATTCCCCCAGCTCAGGGACCTGCCTTTGCCCCAGGGGAGAATGTGTCCCTCTGGCCTTGCATCTCATCTCCTAATCTAGAGCTTCCCAGTTCTACCTTCCCTCTGGGAAGTGTCTCAGGAGCCTCTCCCTGATACCCAAGGTCCTACCACACCTGGTATAGCACCGACTTCTCCCTGAACTCCAGGTAGGGGGACCTGGGGTGCTTCTCTGACCCTGCTGCGAAGGCCAGGAAAGCCCTCTCCTCCTGGCAGTGGAGATAGCCCTATAAATCTGGTCATTACTAGCAACTTTGTTTCCCTAGCTATGGCTAAAAATAAGTAGGACAGGGGTGGCACTGTCCTGGAATGTTTCCTGACCCTATCCCAACCCACTCTAGCCTTTTTACATCTCAGGAGCCTTTGGGAGATTGTAGAAAATTGAGGTGTGGGCATGAGTCCTGGTCTCCTAGCCTCCCCTGGGG